ATAAATTTCATTTCCGTATACACATTTATAATATAGCCATCTTTCAATAACACATCTGAAATCTCTCATGGCAACACTTCTTTCTGAACACTATTATGATAACGAATAAATACTCATGTTTCTCTAAACTCATTTCTAAGAAACATTCATATACGAATAACATTTACTTTATAAGTTCCCATTTTCAAATAAATGATATACATATCCAAAATCCTCAATCACATGTGAAAACTCTCACCCAACTACGTACCCTGGGAAAATCGTGTCATACCTGGCGGCGTCCTACAACGCAGGCAGAGCGAGGGACGTTACCTGTCATTACTCGCAAGATCTATCAGTCGCGTGTGGCAGAGCCACTGAAACTGTCATACCTGGCGGACAACTCAACGCCCAGGCAGAGCCAAAATCTGTCATACCTGGCGACCACTCAACGCCCAGGCAGACAATAAATCTGTCATACCCGGCAAGATCTATCATTGCACAGCAGAGCCACTGAAACTGTCATACCTGGCGGGACCACTCCAACGCCCAGGCAGAGCCAATAAATCTGTCATACCTGCGGACCACTCACCGCCCAGGCAGACCAATAAATCTGTCATACCCGGCAAGACTATCATCGCACGGGCAGAGCCACTGAAACTGTCATACCTGGCGGACCACTCAACCCCAGGCAGAGCCAATAAATTTGTCATACCCCGGCCAAGATCTATCATCGCCGGGCAAGCCACTGAAACTGTCATACTGGCGGACCACTCAACGCCCAGGCAGAGCCATAAAATCTTGTATCTCTTTGGGATAGTTACTCGTAGGTGGTTTTGCATCACAAGCATACTCATGCATAGTTTTCAAGTAACATGTAAAGTCAATAGCATATTTCGTATGTGCTTATAAATCATACATATAGGACATAATATTCAAAAGTCACATATAAGGGTGAAACTACAATTTTTCTAACATGTTTCCGAACTACCGGTTTAACCCAGATTGAAAATTATTACTAACCTCACAATCTGATTTTTTCTTTACCATTTAAACACGCCAAAATGCCTTAACTCCCAGCATTTTAAAAAAACACCATGAAATCATTTTCTCAAGACGTCCAACTGGAAGCATACAAGTGTATTTAAACCAACCACTTTTAGTCCAACTACATACTCAAGCACCTCTCAAAATGCAATCCAGCCGAGTGCATGCAACCCAAAATATCTAGCCACCATCTCATTTATTGAAACAGCCAATGCTGCAAGTTAATTAGCAAGCAATTCCCTTTAAAACTCAAAACAACCACTCTAGAATTTGTCCGAAACATGCAAGAAGAAATAAACCAAGCAAGCTTCACATTTTGCTCAAACCTCACCAAAATATATAAAAATGCATCACGAAATCTCATACAGCATAGATTTGAAATTTTTTAAGGAAAAGTTTTTATTAAAACCACTCACACGTTTGAAGCTCGACCCTTAAGCGAAAAAAATGACTGAAATTTCTAATGGCCCCGCTTGCCTCCCTATGTACAAAATTCAATAAAATCCCCATACATAGTCCCATAAGGTAACGCCTCAATATTAAATCATTGGACACTTCACACACCAAAAGATTAACATAACTTCTGCTTTCAAACAACTGTCTCATAATCGAACATCGGACCGCCTCCCGATTTTTCCTTAAAAATTCTATTTATCATTTTTAAGCCATAATTTTAACAGAGCGTTCTAGAGACACATAAGTTGTTCCCTAATTTTCTCAAGTCATTCCAGAATCAATAACTTTTAAACCACAATTTCCTTTTCAACTCTTCAAATCTGTCCCCTTTTCCAAATTGAGGTACTGACTTGAAAAATTCTAACATTCAGCCCTTAATCCAAAACTCATGAAAACTCTCCAGAATTAACTAGACACACATAGGATTCACCAAATTTAAAATCACTCAATTTGGATAAGAATAGATGCATCAAATCATTTTCCAAAAACATGTTCTGCGAAAACGAAAATTCCAGGATTCACAAGGCAACTTCAAAAACCATATAAAATTCAATCCTTCGAATTTTTAAGTGAATAAATTTCTAAACACCCTCAAGATGTCTAACAACATATCCAAATTCGGCTTCAACAACAAACCCAAAACATACAAAAAATTTTCGGAGTTTCCAGATGGTCAGATTTCTATCATAACCCTTACATCAAAATCTATCTTTAAACCCATTTTTTTTAGAAACAACCCTCATGTTCTACCCACACCAATTATTAAATCATCGCCCTTTTAGTTTTGTTTTCATGAATTTAATACAAATCATAACAAAACTCCAAAGAGATTCTGATCATAAATCACCAAAAAGATGAAATATCAAGCTGTTACTAAACCTCCAGTTGCTCGATCTTACTCACTCCTCCGATCACCGGAGTTTTGCTCGCCGGCGGCCCCTTTTGCAGCCACCTCCGTCGGTCTCCTATCTCCTCTCTCCCTCTATTCTTGGTTTCATCTTTCTCTCCCATCTTTTTCTTTTCTTTCTTTCCTTCTTCCTCTCCTTCTCTTCTTCTTCTTTCTCTCCTCTCTTTTCTTTCTTCCTTTTCTCTCTTTTCTTTTCTTCTTCTTCCCCGTTTTTCTTTTCATTGAATGATAACTGTTCATCAAAATATCTGAAAAATTTAAATTAGTCCTCACTTATTTCGACTATCACCTTGTACTCCCTAAAACTTTCAAATTATTACACTTTACCCCAGAATCACAAAATAAAATTTAATAAAACTCCATTAAAAAAAATACGGGGTATTACAGTACGGAATTATCCTCTATAACATAATTTCTAGTTTATTTGTAATCCAAGTCATTGCAGTTTCTTTCTTTCAACTTATTGTTTCCCAATAATCAATTTTCAAAGTGAACTTTCTTCTTTAATTTTTGTATTAAATTAATTAGATAATTTTGTGAATTTGTTCATCTTCTCCAAGCACATAATGTGCATGTACTGCATATGATACAAAATTAAAAGTCCAATTGCCAGAATTCTAGGTATTAAGCATGAGTGTTCAATTTGATTTGGGCCTAACTTTATAGGCCCGTCAAATTCCAATCATGTGGGCCTTATAAATAAAGTGGTCATACCTTTTTTTTTTTTTTTAGCATATTAAATAATTCCAATTTTAAATAAGCAATTAATGTTTCAATTCAACAATCATCTTCTATCTGTTCAATCTAATTTTTAATTAAACAAAGTGAAGTGGTTTACACACTGTATATGAAATTTTTTGATATATAAAGCAGTCTTACAAATTTGCTCTGGCACATATGAAAAGTTTTCCAATTCTCTGTTCAAGACAACAAATGTATAGATATTTCTCGGTCAATAGAAATATGCCAAAGATTTGTTGAAGAAATTCGAAATGCTTGAAGGCAAACCAATCTCGACACCGATGGAATCGAATGCCAGATGTGTGCCCATAGTGGCAAAGACTTGAAAGATGCAACGATGTATCGATAACTGGTAGGTAGTTTGATTTACTTAACCTTGACTCGACCTAACATTTCTTATGCAGTTGGTGTGATGAGTCAGTACATGCAAAATCCAAAGAAGTCTCATTTCAAAGCAGTTTGGCAAATATTGAGATATGTAAAGAGTACAATTGATTATGATCTTTTATATCAGAAAGGCGAAGACTGCAAACTAGTTGTTTATTGTGACACTAAATATGCAAGAGATCATGACACCATAAGATCAACTATTAGGTACATGTTTAAGCTTGGTTTTGGAACGATTTCTTGGTGCAGCAAGAGACAACCAACAGTATCATTGTCAACGACGGAAGCAGAGTACTGAGCAGTAGCTTAAGCAGCTCAAGAGAGTACATGGCTTATATAATTAATGAATGATCTCAATCAACCAATAGACTATGCAGTTCCTTTGTTCTATGATAACCAGTCGACAATTTGCTTGGCAGAGAATCTAGTTTTTCATTCAAGAACTAAACACGTGGAAGTGCACTATCACTTTATGAGAGAACAGGTTTTGTAAGAAGAGATTGAGATGAGACAAATCAATACGGATGATCAAGTTGGAGACTTGTTCACAAAAGGTTTCAGTACTGGAAGTTCAAAAACTTTTGTTGTCAACTTGACATGGTGCAAAGAGTGAAAGCTGGTGTTAAGGGAGAGTCTTAAAGATAAACCCTAGCCCTTCAAAAACTTTTCTAAAATGTGGAAAGAAGATTTTTTGGAGAAGACTGTAGTAGTTGCTGCGAAACTCAACTAGATTTGTTTGGGGTAATTACTCAAAGAGTGCAACCCCTCCAAAAATAAAGGTATGCCGCAGAAAGTGGAGAGCACACGGTATTCTTTAGTAAAAGGCGAAAGAATAGTTCGCTTTGTGCTCACCACACGGCTCCATACTTATAATCAGGCATTTGACGCATTTTATAAAAGAAAGTTCAGGTTGAGAGTTGTATCTTCTAGGCCATGTGGGATTTTAAAATTTAATTATATCTTCAAAGTTTCATGTATGATCCATTTCAAGGTTTTAGAAAAATCCTAGCTGCTCATGAAATCACTATCGCAATTCTTAACTCTTTAGTACTCTCTTCCTGATATTGCTAGATCCAATTTCCTGGTATTGTTTCATTACATTTTCAACGGCCAAATAATTAACTAAATTCTAAACACATGCATCAAGCAAAAGAAGACTTAATATTGTCTTATAATACCAGAATAAATTTTCAATAAGAACTGATATTCTTATAGCACATAAATTTAAACATGAATTACAAATATGTGGAATAGACATGATAGATTTTATTGCGAAACTTATTTAGAAATACTCTCTTCTTCATTTATTTTTATTGCATATAGAATTTCATTGATAAAATTGAGACCTTCCAATAGTTTTTCACTCTATCTCGTAACCATGTCAAGGTCCTTACATTAAGATAACTGATAGTGGCTCAGTCTCGGTCTTTAAATTAAAGATAATTAATACAGGCTTGGTCCTTACATTAATAGTGGCTTTTATATGGAATCAACCGGCAAGGTTTATGGTTTTTGTAATTTTTTTCCTGCCAGAATCCCATATATAATACTTTTTACCTCAGTAACGCTTATACAGGTCAATGTTGTTATCTGTAGCCTTAAACTAAGAATTATGCAGAGGTCTTTTCTTTAGCAAAGTTTATATTGGTCAATGCTGGTATCTGTGTGCTTAAACTAGGAATTGTAGGGCTTTACCCCGGAGGGAGCCCTTCCAGAAATTCTCAAAGGCCAAAGCTGAACCTTGGCCTAAGAGGGGGTTTGGAAATAGTTTTCAACCAGCAATAGACGCGCCTCGGTTAGAACCTCACTAGCTGCGTCATTGCCCCAAGCGCAAAGATGCCTTTTCAATAAGATTTAG